CCAAAACAGGGTATTTTGAAGGGGAGGCAGAGATAGCAGTGGGAATCTGTAAATGTGTGTCACCACCTAGAGTGTCTATGGGTTGGTTACCAGCTGCCTAAAAGCTGGAATACACCAGCGCAATCTGAGTGCAACAGGGATATGTGGCTACGGGTTCGGTGGTTCTGCATCTGTGGAAATCTCTCCTCTACTGAGGCAAGTCACCTTGAGGTTTGTAACAGCTTGCCAATCACCCATGTCACATCTGAAAGCGACAAACTTGCTTCCCCAGTGACTTGAAGAAGAAGAAGGGGATCCACCGCCTGGTCCCTTCTTTCTGGGAGGGGCGCTTGTCTCCTGGCTGCTTCTGGCCAGAGGATGCTTACTTTGGCCGTTGTGCTTTCTCTTCTTGGGGTCCTGCCCACTTGCCCTTAGCAGAAGCCATCTGGCTCGCAGACTAAACCCGTACTATCTGGTGAGTGGCTTCCCAAAAATCCGAGATTACCCTCTCCATCTCCTCATTAAAGAGGGTGGAAGAGGTCCAGTCTCTGTAACTGAGGTTGTGGCGCACCCTGTGACATAGTTCATAGGGAAAACACACCCTGCTAAAACAGCATCCCGCTGCACAGAGGTTGCCCCTGACAAGAGAGCCAGATGACACTGCAGGACAACCACTTCAGCTGGTATAAGAGGCTGATTCATTCTGCCTTTGAGACTTCAGAGTCCTGGAGATGCAATGCAGTGCATCCCATTGTGCTGGCCACACACTCCAAAAAGTGAATGGGTCTCAGCTCTACTCTCAGGGCGTTGGACTGTTTCTGACTGAGATGCAGAAAAACTACACGAAACACTGCCACCCCTTCACCTGAAGGGGTGGCAGTGAACAAGAGATCATGGTACATGAGTTGGGGGAAGGAACCAAGGGATACAATCAGAGGCGTGAAATTAGGCTCCAGACTCTGCTTGATCTTATACTACGCACTGCAATAGTCAGTTTGGTCCAGTGGAAAGTGTTAGCTATAAGGTTACACCACCATGTGGTCTCATGACTATATACTTCTGCATGTGATCAATACCCGCCCATCAACACCACCCCGACGTCTAGGATATTGAAAGCCACAGTGCTATCAGGATTGAGAATGCAGGTATGAACAATGTGTCACTAGGACTGACGACCTCCCGCATCACCATCATAGTGTTATTCAGAAGTCATTTCAGAGAACGGACTCTGAGGGGATGTTCGAGTCCACAGGGGCAGACATCATTAAACACCCCCCTTTAACGTTAAGGAAGTGAGCAAAGGCATGTCTGATAAAAAGTATTGTAGTCGGGTAGGCCCCTCTGGAAATACTATTGGGTCTTTGAAGAGGGAGTAGCAATCCCTGACTGACAGGAAGTGGGGAAGAGATGAAATCCACGTCCTGCCATGCTTTGTCCCCCTCAATATCGGAGGCCTGAACGCCAGCCCCCACCTCCCACCATCGCCAGCCATCTGTGGAATATGCCTTGTCGGAGACCCAGTATAACCGGCCTGTGCTCACCTGCTTCTCAATCATCGGGGACGCTGGAGTTGGGATTGAGGGTTCTCGAAATTAAGCACTCTTTGAATACAAACATCACATCCTGGATTGTTTCTTCGTGCTCGCCGACTGAGAGGTGTCTACAGTGAAGGCAATGCACTCCTCTTACAGCATGTCTACCCATCCTGAAAATGACGAAATTTGGCCTGACTGGCCCTCAAACATCGCTAAAATCTGAGACCCGGCGAGAAAGGATCCTCGTGAGGACACGCAACAGTCCCCATAAGAGCTCTATGCTCCATATACCGGCCTTGCTGTTTCTGGCACGATCGAGCAAACCTTTGTCTGCAATAACAGAAAAGGATGGGGGGACTGGGACTTGGTTCCACCACTGCTGCACCGCACAGCACCCGGGGTACCGGTAGCCGAACAGGAGGACTCCCAGCCCATAATAACACTTCTCCCACTCACGACCAATTCGTTTTGCACAAAGTTCAATCTTATTTGTCAAAGTTTTGCAAGAAAATAACAAATATTCTGTAATATTTTTGTGTAATACATTTTGATGTCTTTGATAAACGACTTCATGAATTTTATCACCAATATAGATGCTATGAATATAAGAAGCACAGCGTTTAGAGTCAATGTAATTAGGGTTAATCAACGACCACACAACTAAAATTTTTCGATTCGTCAGCATTCAATGTTTTTTTAGTATGGATAGCTGGAACAACAAACCCACTATTATGTGTTCAACGTCTTCTCGAAATTTCCTATGTGCATATGCCACATGTGTTCAATGTACGACTGACCCCGCAGTCTACTAAATAGGTTGCGTGTGTTAGACTCGTCAAAATTCAATGTTTCTCCTCATTTGTATGGACAGCCTGAACAACAAACTCACCATTATTTGTTTAGTTGAAGATATCTTTTTGTTATGGCGCGTAGTATTCTAATTTGCGTGATAATTATGCCCATCTTTGCACACAACACTGTTAATGTTTTGTTATCATGCACACTTTGATCCTTATATACTTTTTTCATATTTTCAATAACCGACTTCATGAATTTTGTCATGCTATTTAGAAATATGTTCTTCTAAAATTGGACATCTAATTATTTTTTTTTAATTATACAAATGGAGTGCATTATGGATTCACATTACATTTGAGATGCCAATCAAACTATTTTTACAATCGTTGACAATAGTTGATATAATCCTATCATTATGCTGGCTGGGTTTGAAAGCACACCTGCATCCTGATTAACAATTCAGTACAGCAATATGTTGTTATCTACAGCATCAGAACCAGAGGCTGACGAAAATGGTCATTTCGTCAAACAGTTAGTGGCGTTATATAATGTTAGCAAAATCTCAATGTCGAGTCTCTTTCATTCTTCATATGATACAATAATGTAATATTAATTTTGTCATAGAGTTTTTTTGTACAGTACAATGAGAGAGGAATTTACTATTTTTCAAATGTTTTTGAAATATAAAAGTACATAAAGCTATAGGTGCTAGTTATAAATATGATAAAGATAGGGCGTTCTTATTTGCTGAAGTCTGTCACCAGCTTTCGGCCAGACTACTGAGCTACTAAGCTTGCCATGCTTGTAGATTGAACACTTAGCTTTTGATATGCATATAGAAAAAAAACACCTTTCCATGTGCTAACATTTCCAAACACCTTACATCACCTTCATATTATATACAAGTCTCAGCTTGCCAAATCTTATAAAGCAAAAAAAATTGTTTAAAGGATGGCAGCAAATTATTGCGATGACATGACCAAGTACGAGTTGATGATAAAATAAACAATTTCATTCTTGTCTAAAAAAGTGCAGCTCATGTTAATGATGTCATGTCAACTAATTAATGAATAGATTCCTACCATTCTGTCAAACTGACACAATCCGCATTTAATGAAGGAGTACCAGGTAATGTAATTTATTTATTTATTTATCAGTTAATTTATTTTCTTTCATCTTGCCTTCATTTCAAAAATACTTTCAATAAATAATAGTTTTCTTAACAGTTTTATTTATCAGTTTATTGTATTTGAGTTTATTGTTGTAATTGACAAATTATCAACAGTAATGATGATGATTGCAGGGATGGTGGAAATGATAATGACAGTGATTTTGAATGTGACGCTAATTACACAACAAAAGCAATTACATTATCACATTGAATTAGGATCGGAACATTTAAATTATTGGCTCGAGTATACAAAGCATTACATGATGAAGAGATACTTTGACTGTGCTAAAGTATGTCTTTAAAAACGTGTAAAAAGTTTACGAGATGGATTAATTCTAACTATTTTATTCAATTTGAATACCTGAAATTGAGAACCCTATACCACTACAATGTATAACGTCTGAAATCTAACTATAAGCCTAATAATTTGTGAAATTGCTCATGTTTTACAATCTTTCAAATAGTTTAATATGAAGAACTATTTTATTAATATATGTTTCATAACAGATGCCTCAGGCCACACTGCATGGAAATAACAACTAAAATGTCTGATTAGTCAGAATAATTGAATCAAATGAAGTATTGTAAATATTACTGTTGCACGATCCTCCAAAGTATAAATAAAGAAATATGGACAAAACATACTTACTTGCAAAATTGAAAAATGTCTCAGGAATGCGATTGAGAATGTAAGTAAGCAGTGAGATATGAATGAATGAGTTTGCAATTAATTCTTCACAAAAATACTCAACATCTCATATTCTGACATAAATACTAAACTTATACATCCACCATCGCCCATTGTCGGTGTATATGTTTTTGAAAACAATTAAGATGAAAATAATAATATTTTCAGAACAGAAGAATTCAGCATGCCGAATGTAATATTTTCTACGATTGAACTCCTTTGACCAAAGCCTGGTAAATGTTTAATGTTGTTAGAGTTCAAGTGTTGGATAATTAAGACTAATAAATAATAATTTTACCAATGATTGGAATTTCTGAAATACTAGCAAACACACACTACAATTATTGAAAAAAATGCTGCAGATATATAGGTAGTTTAGATTGACAATAACACGTCGTTGAATGTAACACAAGAGATCACGTGTTGGCTAATTTGTCTCACCTCTAGGACTCCGGTTTACACTGATGAAGTGACTGACTTAAATCGTCTTAGAGAAAAGATGGGAAAATATACTTGACTCACTCTTATATCAATGTATTTCTTATTTCTCTCTAGACATCATGACATACGTATTAGCTTTTTTTCCTCAGTAGCGTACGTTACACATGGCAATATTTAGTGTATTTCTCAGCGATATATTGTTTACACCATTACCAGTAGTTGCTACGTAAAAAATGAAAATGAGCATGCGCGACGTAATTCAGTTGCGTGTGCAATAATTTATTTGTCCAATAGGAATGCTCCCAAATGGAGGGATTACAAACACGCGCGTCATCAAAATATTATCGATAAAATCGAACGAGCGGATCAAATCTAGCAGTTGCAGGTGTTTGTCTGAAGTCTCTGCACAACATTTCTCGTTGAAGAGTATTCTACGAAATACAGCCACGATGTTACGTTTATTATTGATCCTTGCGGTTACTTGTTTGACTCTAGCAGTCCCACACGAGGTATGTTCACTCTCATATTAAGTTACAACTTATTGTGTAAATTGTTGGGAACTCAGGCGTTGTGTTCAGGGAACTTTGTCTCGCTTAGCTGATAACATTTACACATAGATAGTCCAGATTTATTCATCGAAACCGTCAGCTGAGGTCACGCCTCGATGCCGAATTCTCTTCTTCCTCCCTTCTCCCTCCTTCTATTACAGAATCTTGCAAATTCTATAAGCCAATCGCTGCAGCTATTCATGATCACGTGATTACCATGGATGTGTCTCATGGTTAAAGCTTTGCGAAGTTGCCACTAATAAATACATTAGTACAAAATCTATAAATTCCTGTAATATATATTTATAATGCCTACCTTACCATGCAAGCTGTTGATCCAAACATCCCAAACAATCAAATAAGTGTATGTGATGTCATTGATAACTCTATACATTCACCACCTTACGATTATTTTTAGAAAATCAGAGTCGATCATGTTATAGGTACATGTTATTATTTGCTTCATCAACAGTGCACATGTCATATAGATTTGTTCTGAGGACAATTCTGAATTCAGATTTTTATCACAACATCAGTGACCGTAGACCAATGTCGCGTACCGATAAGCTTATGTGCATAATTAAGCGTTATGTTTAGTTGATAGTAAGATAGCATATGTGGGGGTACAGTATTATAATTATAATTAAATTATAAGCCTTTTATACAAAAACACACGAGACTGTTATTACATTGTTCCCGCGAAGTTACATCACGCCATTGCTCAGATCAAAAACACGTTTTAACAATTAATAAAGATCGGGTAAATATGTTTTCAAAAGTGACATGCTAAAACTGGTGTTTGATGGACGTTATCCAAGTCTTGGCATCAATAATTCAGATTGAATGATGAGGACAATTCAACACAATACAGTAACACATCGGTCTTTGAGAACTGAAGCTCGTCAGTGTTAGATTTACAGCTATCGTCTCAATCCTTAGAGGCGAGCTACGTCACAGAACATTCCATGTTGCTAAGACGCGCACCACTCTACCGTGTATTTGGCACTGCGCGAGCTGTTGTGGAACGCTGATCTTGTTACACTGTTCAGCAGAGTCTCAACAACTACCCCAAAGTACTTTTTTAAGAGTTATCGGCCTTTGTATTCATCGAGATGGTTGGAAAGTGGAGGAAATACCCGGATGTCCACCTGAGGACTGCATTAAAACTATTTTAGTCCTTTTTTTTCTTCCTTTCCAGAAATTAGTCGAAAAGCGCAGCTCAGGTATGTATATCAATTATTAGAAACCTATTCTAAGTTTCAACAATATCTATTCCATCAAGTTATGAAAGAATACAAATGTGTTCACGGTGTTGCAGAATACAAAGATTTCAATGTTTTTATTTAAGCTGTTGTGTTCTTAAAACAATTGACACATTTGAAAATTACTAACTTACCGGTTTTAGAGAAAATGTAGGATGTATTTATGTGAGATTATTTATCTATACTAGATTGACCATTGTAAATTGATACGAATATTATCAATGTTACTGTACTAATTTGTCAAAGACAATTTAATTGCTTAAATATATATGAATTATAAATACTATCAAAATATTTACAATGTAGCTATACCGATCATAGAGGAGTACCACGTTATAGATGGACAAATGGACTGGTACGAAGCAAAAGCTGCATGTGAAGAAAAGAATTGGCAACTCGCACAACCCAGAACTCAGTTTCAAATGGACGAGATAATGAAATTATATGTGGCAGGTATATTTGCAAACGAAGTTATATCGTAGTTGTTGGAAGCTCTATATTAATGTTTTTGTCATGAATCAATGGAAAGTAATTACAACTTTGTAAATATGTATGTGTATAATAGTAATTGTTTTACATTGCCTCATTTCATTTTAATTTTAATAGGGTTTTATTGGATTGGTGTAAGCGATGAGAACCATGAAGGGAATTTCACTTACTGCTCAGATAACCACCCAATTACCTACAGCAACTGGGATACAAACGAGCCAAATAATGAGCATGGAGCGGAAAACTGTGTTGAGGTCTGGTAAGTAAAGGTAGTATCACTTAAAACACGAGCGGTCGTTAGTATGAAGAAAGATGAAAAATATCTTTTTTATATAGTATATATAATATTTTTTAGGGTGAGGGACAAGACTTTTCTTGCAGTGCAAACTATTTTATAAATAATCATCTGACCTAGTTGATACAAAAAATGCCAAATGACGAAAGATTGTATGGTGATTTGTTGTGGCTTACGCAATTATATTTGAGTTAATGATCTAATATTTGACAGGAAATTAGCGGGCAAATGGAATGACGTTAATTGTACCGTGGTACGAGCCAGTGCATTTTGCGAGCGTGAGTATGGTTTATAAATCAATTTCCACATAATATCAGTTGCTCTATCACTTCAGTGTGTTGGTGGTGACCCATGCCACATAAAACATTTACTGTAGAACACTTTGGTTCAATAATCCCAATTATATTGTTTTGCATCTATATCAGTTGCATGCTATATTTGCGTGCAGTAAACAATCACACTTACATTAATATAAACTTGACCGATGCCTGAAAATAATATCATGTGTTTTTCACTTGTCTGATGTACATCAACAGCAAAATTAAATATAAACCGTGCATCAATGTCTTTATTAGAGCATGGTCCCGTTTGTGAGCCCCATATGAGGACATTCGATGAACGTACTTATAATTTCCAAGGAATAGGATGGTATCATCTATTCAAGGACTGCAGCGAAAACCCTACTTTTGAAGTCACAACCAAATTTGAACCAAGAGAAGATAGTACACCAGACAATATCAAGACGCGGACTATTGCAATCAATGTAACTGTTGGAAATCAATACGCAATTATTGATGGACGTGATGTTACCACAGTAAGTTGTCAGTGTGTAGTATTGTGATAATACAATCAGAATTTCTTTTTTAATTCAGCGATCATAACAAGATGATAAACAATTACTCATTCAACAGGGACGTACAGGTGGACAGGTGACTGACGCAAAAGTTATAACAGTCCAGGAAGAAGAGAAAGATATTAAACTGCATTTCACATCAAAGGACACGACATTCTCACTTAAATGGACCCTGAGAAAGCACGCATTAGATGTATCCTACTCTGGCTCTTTTTACAGCGGTAAGCTATGCGGTCTGATGGGTAATGCAGATGATGATCCCCGCAATGACTTTCAGAAACCTGATGGTACTATTACAAAAAACGCTATTGAATTTGGTGAAAGCTGGAAAGTAACTGATAAGAAGTAAGTTGAATTTTCCTGTACATCTATTAAACTAAAGACTAGTCCTCTCTCATTATTGTATGATTGTTTTTGAATTTGTTTCTTCTGACTGGATCAGTTGTAAATAGAAACAGGCAGATATTTTTTTAAACGTGCATCACTCTCATTTTCTGGATATAATTTTAGGGAGTACACGAGCGAATTCTTTGGACATGAACTACAATAATTTCCAATAAAATCTGTAGCGATCACATGATATCTGGCGCCATGATTCTTTCCTGTGAACCGACAATCGACGCCAACAAATCTAATTGCTTGCCAATGAACATATTGATCTGAATTTTGGATTGGATCTAAGGAATTATTTCAAATCAATACAACAATTGTCATATAGTATATGTTGTGTCTCTCTTCTATCGCAGAGTAGAAAAATATTTCCTTCCATAATCCAAAAATCCATATTGCGCATGTAAAATGTATAGTAGGAGCTTTTTACGAAACCAAAAAATAGGTTTTGACAAAAGTGACAATATTTTAGGATATATGATTAACCAATCAACTCACTTGCCAACAACAGTTGGTATGTAGCATATATTGTCAAAATAATAAAAATTATAATATTGGACGTCTTTTGGGAAAATTTTGACAAATTCGTCATTTGTTTCCCATAAGTACTTTATCTGATCATTTTGTTATTTTATATGTTATTCTATTGGTCCGATATGTCTGAAATTCGGAGATGCATTCAGCCCCCCAATCATGTGGCTAGAACAGTTGGCCATATATACCACCATAATGGCTGTCATGCCGCCATCCCGCCATCTTATTGATTACGAAATTGCTTTGTTGTCTTTGAGCTTGAACCCAAATACTATGAGATGTCACAATGGTAATTTTTATTTCAGTATTCACAAATTGATAAAGCTAGTTTATTTTATCTGTTCATGTTATAGATAAGACCAGGAAGCCAACAACTGACGAAACGACGGGCGTCGTGACAGCTTCATTAGTTTTAGAGATCCCATATCTGTTAACAATTTATGATGGTGGCTTTTGGGGGGAAATTAGTAAATATGTTCTATTGCATCCATTGCTCAACAAGGTTCAATAAAAAGCAAGCAAAATCAATAATCCACTGATCATTCAAAATTATTTCTTTGTATAGCAGCAAATGAGATCATCTGTCTTTCGCTGGTTCACGTAGTAATGGCCACATTGTTCCACTGGGCCGGGATTCCTGCCCAAAGTCGCGTGACTAAATGACGTAATTTGATAACATAAAATTCTTTTTCTGCAAACAAGTCTTCATTACGTCGTGCCCATACATTCTGCTTGCTTAGCCTTATATACTTAAGTTGTTTCTGGCATTTCTCGCTGTTTTTGTGCGAAGTTATAACAAAAGAAACAGTTTTATATTCGTCCAACTTTCGTGAGTAAATGGAAACCCCTACTCTAGGGCCACGAGCGTAAGTGCCAACATCAGGTAACCAAGGGATAAAGAACAAGCAACGAGAAAGTGACCAACCAGAACCGAAGCTTGGTACGCCAAGACACTTGAGGCGGGAACCAGCCAATGTCTGTCTATGGAGACTGCGGGGTTTCTATACCTACTGGCCTCTCTTTCAGGTCTTCTGAAACAGGAAGTATTTGAGGGCGCTTGACTTATGAAAAGAGTATAATCTCGGGGTGGAGCTACGTCACAGGACGTTCCACGTTGCTAAGACGCGCACCACTGTAC